GTTTATGCCCTTGTGAGCCAAAATGACATATAGAGGTTGCGTAGTTTGAAGAAAAGGAGACATTCTGCCATGTAAAACAGTCATTTATTAGTAATTAACATTTTGCCATGTTTCTAAAAAATGCTGCAGCTTAATTTCATGTTTCATTTTTTGGAACTGAACTCCACATTGTATATTTGCTTGTGATCCAGAAAAGCTGCATGAAAAAATCTCAGCTTTCCAAAGGAAGTTGGGTTGTGAGTGACTTTGATTTCAGGATCATCCAATTTGTGCTCCTACGTGCAAAATAGGACCTTTGACATGGAACCTGAAGGAACTATTTGGGAGAGGAAGGAGAGAAGTAAGGTGCTGTCAAGCCCTAAATGAAATTGGGTTTTGTTGGGTTTTTGTTTTGGTTTTTTGTTTGTTTGTTTTTTTAAAGAAGCCTAGCTGTTACAATTTTTTTAAAGCAAATCAATTTTCTGTAATGGAGTAAGACAAGTAAGTCAACAAACATATAATGAACAGAGATGCTTTGGATGTGTCAGGGTAAACCAGCTCAGCTTTCTAATATCAATATAGACACATTTGAGGTATAGCTGTGCCTGGGCTAGTCTGGCCGCTTATGTAGGGATACCAATAAATTTCAGAGTGCTGTCTTGATGAAGCTATTGCTACACCGCACTGCCTTCACCTTGTAGACGTACCTGCTGCTTCGTATTTGACACTAAATAAGCACCTTTTTGACATTCTTGTCAAAGAAACAGTGAATCTAACAGGTCATGAAGACTGAACAACCTTTTGTCACTAGAGATGTGGTCTCTTCAGATCAGAGCATTTGCAACATGTTGGCAGACTTGCGCAGAACAACTCATGTATTGCATGAACTGGAGAATAGCAAGGCCACGGATGAGGTTTCCTGTACAAAATACTGCATTGACTGACGTCCAGGAAAGGATAAAAATACACTCAAAATTTCACTGCCTAAATAGTCTTCTAAACATTTGTAAGGCAAAACTAACCTGTTTAAAATTCTGGCAACTTATTTAAAGTTTAAACAACACACAATATTTTATTCAAATAAAAGAAATTGTTTTTACCAGTCATCTTTCCCACCGCAGTTTAAATAAATGTAAACAATTGAGAGAAGCCTCTGTGTAAGTGACTGAAACCTGTTTTGTTGTCAAGATGATAAACTAGTTTCTGATGACCGTAACCATTCCTGTGGGTAGAGAAAAGGATCTTTCTTTGCTTCTGTTTATTCGATTCAGTTTTATGACTGAGCTCATTTAGAGTTAAGCAAAGGAAAGCAAGAAAAACTTGTATTTAATTAAAAGTAAGGTGTCTTGCTTCCTGTTTGTTTGTAACGATTAATGATTCTTTAGTAAAATAGCTAAAATATATACTATTTCATATGTGTTATTTATAAGACATTTTTGTTTGTGATTTGTTATATCTTCAGTTATTTAAATCACTTTGACTTACATCAGTCTGCTCTACAGACTGTACTGTAAATTTGCAAGTATAAGCCAGGGCAATGTCCATATGTACAGACAAGAAAAACAGAGGATTTTTTACAGCCTGGACCCATCTCTACCTTAGGGGGTTTTGTTTCTTTCTAATAGTAGGTGAGGAGTGTTAATCTTGTTTTCTAAAGCAATATATGCTGATTTTAAAAAGTAGAATTATCCTCAGTTCCTCTTATGTGTGCGAGTTCCCTAAAGGGGGAAAACCAAAAATCTGAGTGCAGCAAGCGAACATCCAGGTCTTTGCTTGGATAATTGTTCTTAATACATTAAAGCCATATAAAAGTAGTTCTTGATTTTCTTGCTCCTGTAAGGTTTCGGAGATCTTGTTTATGACATACTTTGTTATTATCATTATTATAGCAGCTGCATACATTTAAATTGTTATGCATGTTAAATTTTAAGATTTGTAGGTAGAAATATTTTTCAGGTTTTGTTATAAACACATGGATTATTGTATTTGACCTAAAAATCTTATATTTCCAATTTGTATTTGAAAAGTTACCTGTCGCATCATGAAAAATTAGAGAGGAATCTTCTTTACTGTGAAGTAAATGTCCATTTGCCCTGCTTCCTGATAATAAGAAATACTTTGGAGGGGGGGGAAAAAAAAAGCCTCTTGGAAGTCTGACTTTAACCTCGTGCTCCCCACAAAATGTCCTAGATTGTCCTCTTTTAATTTCCTAAGCGCAGTATGTTGCAGAGATGCTTAGTGTGCTCTCAGGGTGTGAAATTTCCTGCCACGTTTATTTAATCACAATGGTTAGCGGAGTCTGAAAATAACTTATAAGTTAATGAAATGTTACTGTCACTTAAATGTTTTTAATATTGACTGTTTAAATAGGTTTAACCCCTCAAGTCTCGAGAGAGAGATTTGCCTAATCGGCATTTATTTGGGAAGAAATTTCCCTCTAAGGATATCTTATGTCCATTGTGGTGGATTTATCCACTTCTGTGATTCATCTGGTACTGATGTTTGATGGGGATGAGGACTGTGTAGCGGGACTGTAAAGTAGATGACAAATTATTTCTAATATAATATAGAGGTTCAATTAAGGTCATTGTAGCTTTTCACGTGTAAGATATACGTTTGGCCAAACTCTGTGTGTGCAGTTTGCCTTTCAAAAATGGTTAAGTTGTGTTTGTAGGTATTGAGGGTGCGGCTCCTTAATGTTTGGGAACTGTGCAGTGTATTCCACCATGTTACGAGGAATGGACTTTTTTGTATTTGAGTAGGCAAATGTCGAGGAAAAGTGAAGTCAGCAGCACGTCATGTCGTTGGTTCAGTAGGTGGCACTCTTTCTCTGGGATCGCCGTCCTGGTAAAGTATTTGTAGGAACGGCTTGGTGAGAGAGGAGTGAGTTTGAACGTGACATAAAATACATTTCTATAACTTGATCGTTGGAGCTCTTATAATGCATTTTTCAGGGTTATGAGGTTGTTAACCTTGCTTGTAATATGTAATTGTATTTTGTCTACTGCAATTCCTCTCATAATTCCAGTAGGATGCAATAGCATTCTGCACTTTTTGCCTTAAGCTAATTTATAGATGTGCTGTGGAAAGAGAAGCTGCTGTTTTGTCAGAGATGGATTGAGTGTTTCATACTATTTTTAGAGTTTTTGTGCTAAGTCTACGTAAAACGCGGCAGTAGAAAAGCTGAAATGAGGTGGCTCTCCAGCAGTGCCTGTTGTGGGAAGCTAGTGCCCCTGACAAAAGCCAGAAGCTGGCCGCAATTTTAAGTGTGATAGGATTTTAACAGGAAGAATTAGCACGTGTGTAGTGCTCTTTGAAACTGTGTTTTTGTTTTCTGAATACTTAAAATATATTCCTTTTAGGAGGTAGGCAGGGATAAGAATGCTGAATTGGCAAGCTATTTCAAACTTGGCTATAATTAAGGTTGAAATGCCAAAAAATTAAATGTCTCTCTTTGTAAAAAAAATTTAAGAGTGTAAGAAATACTGGCTTGAAAAAATAACATTACGTTTTTCCAGGCAAGCCATATAAAATGCTGAGCAGTGTCTTGGGAAGATCTATTTGTCTAACGGCGGATAATTTTTCTTTTGTAAAATCTTTCTGTTATGAAATATAACTGGGTTTTCTCTGTAAGTTAAAGACATTTGGCCATGTTTATGAGTTTGTTTTTTTTAAATATTTCCATTCCTCATTTTTTTCTCATTATGATAAAATAAACAGTTAAAAAACACAATTCTATAATAGTAGGAATTTAAATAGATATCTTAATTTTTGTGACATTCATGAGGTGCAAAAGTGCTGTGGCTTTTTTCATATTCCAACACTCATTTTCATAAAATGCCCATTTCAAAGAAAGTTACTGTGTGGTTTTAATACACTATACATACTTTTAAATTGTCACCAGGTGCATTTGCATGAGGTATGTGGACATAACGTCTTGAAATGAAACACTTAAGTGTGTTGAAGATTTATTGTATGTTTGGAATGCTTGTCTGATTAACCCTTCCCTAGTCCTTTTATTTATAAGTGTCCTTTAACATGGACTTGTGTTTTTATAGTCTTTCTTGCACTACTAAGTCATGATGACCTAATTATGATGGATACCTGAAAGGAAAGAATCTATGTTGGGACTCAATGCACTCATGTTTTTAATTAAATAGAATACAAAGGTTGAGAGTGTTATGCCAATACTCACTGTAATAGGACATTAAGTAGTTATTGTATGTGACAGTCCCTTGTCAAATGCAGAGCTACCTTTTTTCATGTAAAGTATTTTAAAATCTTCTTACTGGTCAGTTCAGAGACTGAAAGAGTTAAGAACTTAATGTGAGGAGCTGTATGAAAGTAGTCTGAGGATACCTTACATGCTGACTGGCATGAGGAGACAAGTTTGCCTGGGTCCAAAGATAAAATAGAAGGGCTTCCATTTATGCATTTCTGGCAATACTCTGTTGAAGGGGAGGGAAGACATATAAAAAAGTAGGCAGAAAGGTATTTGGTGGCACTTACTGGGCATACGTGTGTAACGAGATACGTTACATGTATTTGTATATTTAGGTCATTCTGTTCTGATTGCAGATTCACATCAGACTATCTTCCTTGTGAATACAATTGACCTTAGTGGGCCTAGAATGGTTAATTCCAAGTAGAATGAGCCCCTGTATTTAGAATGCACCCAAGAAAACTTACTTAATGATGTCTAACTGTGTCTAGGTGTACTCTGGCAGTTTCATCTTCTAACATAATCCATGTTTGATTGAGTTAGTTGTACATCTTTAAAAATCCAGTTTGCATTATAAACATAGCCTGTTAACTTAATGCAACTTTCTACTGATAGTCTGCTTCACATTCCATTTACTTATCTTCATTAATATATAATGGCTAAAAATATATTGTTCAATGTGGTATGTTTGACTTTCGAGCAAAAGCTGGTTTCTATAGTAAAACTCTTAAGCTGAAAAGTAGTTTCATTTTCATAGTCCAAGTAAGTTGTTTTATGGCGATATTATTCTTCCTTATAGTTAACACAAGAAGAATGTAGGGGTACACTATACAAATATAGAACTGAAGAGCTGGATATTGATGTAAGTCGTTTGTATTTCTTCTTCTTTGGAAATGTTGGTATTTGTATCTTATTTTGATAATAATTTCCCCCTTGACTTTTGGGTTTGAAACGTACTTCATATAGGTGATTACCAACAGAAACTGCTTTCTGAAATTGAGGAGCATAACTTGCATGAAGTATTACATTTTAGGCTGAAATTTCAAGTACTGTATCTGTTCAAAGATGAATTGCTTCTAGAAATGAATTAATTACTTTAGAAGGGAAAAACTCTGTAGTTGTAGTTCAGTTGTAAGCATGAGAGGTGTAATTTCTCAGGAAATATGACCAATACTCCAAAACTGAAATTTAGCATGGGTAATTACCTTTCAGAGTAGCAGGTTGCTAGTTACGAAAGAAAAGGGGTTTGGTGTAAAATTGGTGGTGAAAAATAGACACATATAGTCATACTGTATATGCGTACATATGCACGTCTAGTCATTCTTGCACGATGCCAACTAAGAGTAGACATAATGATTTAAGGGATGCTATTTTAAGAGTAAAAAAGAAAGCAGGCTTCTAGTGTTACCTTAGAGTTAAGAAGATCAGAGCAGCACAAACTGAACCAAAGACGTTGTTCAAATAGAAAAGTAAACTGTTTCAAATTGGTTAGAGTGCACTGAACAGTTATTTGCTCAAACTGGAGCAGAAAAGTTTTAGTCATAACCAAGCCTTGATTGGAGCTAGAGCAGAGCAGAGCATGGATAGTACTAGTAACTAACTATTAAAAACTACCACCTGAAATAAACCATGGGAAAGACTGTGAATGTATACAATATTCTTTATAATACTGAGACTATGTAAATTAAAACAGTATTTAATACCTAATATTAAATTGTAAAGATTTAGCTGTAGAATCATAGATTATATGTTTTGAGCCATGCTGTTTCAAGTTATAATAACACTTATTTCGTAGTATCTTAAGAGGGTTTCTTAAGATTAATTTCAAAATGCAACACTGATGCCTTCATAATTTTAGAATCCATATTTTGTGGTCATAACATTATATAAAGATTAATGTAATGATTTGATCAAGTTATATGTTGATTATTGAAGATGTTAAAAATGAAATTCTAATTGCAATCATTTTCTGTTATATACTAGGCTAAGCTTAGCCGTTTATGTGAACAAGATAAAGTTGTACAAGCACTGGAGGAGAAGCTTCAACAGCTACACAAGGAGAAAGTAGGACAATTGTATTTATTACCTAAAGTGGATGTTCTTTTACATGCTTATTATCAGAACATTGATAACTGATATAAAATGAAAATCAGCCCAATGATGCAGAACATTAAAAATAATTCTTTTTATTATAATAGTACACGCTTGAGCAAGCTTTGCTATCAGCAAGTCAGGAGATAGAAATGAATGCAGATAATCCCGCAGCCATACAAAATGTAGTCTTACAGAGAGATGACTTGCAGAACGGACTACTTAGCACCTGTCGAGAAGTATCGCGAGCTACTGCAGTAAGTAATATGTTCTTGCCAGTAAAACTCAATGAATTGTTAAACAATTAATTTCACGTTCATATTCTTAATTGGGTTGTCTTTGGTTATTTTTCATTCCATTCCAGCAAAACTCCGTTGTCTTTTACTTGCTTGTATTTTTGTCAAAGGCAACTGGAAAGTGATCTTTTCACTATATTCATTGAGTAGTCTTTCTTTAATTTTTCTTTTTGGCCAAGAATGAGTGCATACTGAATTTAATTGATGTGGTAATTTTCATCTTTATAGTATGAAAAATTGATTACAGAAGAAGTAAATAATGTAAACAAGCTATGTTATGTAGTGGCAAAATAGTAGCAAGCACAAACTTTTATCACATATTCATCAGATAGGTGACTTATTTTAAGCAAAAGCAGCTGCAGGGTGAAAAGAAGAAAAGTTTGTATTGTCATGGTCTCTCTAATAGTGGGCCATTATATTTAAAAGATCTTTCAAGTTATGCATTTTCAAAAACCTTAAAAAAAAGGGGGAGGGGGGGCGCGGAATTGCTATTTACTGTCCTTTTCCACTTGGTGATGGTTTATACACTGAAATGACAAGGCAAAGAATCGTGCTTACCTACTTACATGTATCCAAAAAAATATTTCAATGTCAAATTCAAGTGGTTTATTGTAGTGAAATTGATACAAAGTAGGCCCTGAAATACTGGTTTTAGTCTGAACGTTAGACTGTGTTGTAAAAGGAAGTGATATGCTTTCCCTCATTAACTTTTTAATTTATGCTAAATTGAGTGAATTGCTTGATGTAGGCTTCAAAAGTGAGATGGTAGAGCTGACCACAAGGAAGATTTTCTTTTTGCACCTTCTCCCTTCTGGCGTTCGTAGTTTTACATATGTAAAATAATGGTGTATTAGCAGGCCTGGGGCATTCACTGGTAACCTTACAGGCAGGGTTGGATGACTTACATTTGTCTTGCATAATACATTGCATATACATGCACATGCTGTGCACTCACACATACGTATTCTGTGTGATAAAAGAGACAAATTTGCATCCATTTTTGTGGCTCTTCTGCTTTGGTGGAAGGACAGCTTAAGACCCACATGCCTGCTGACTATAAAGACATATTCTGAAGATTTTGCCCTTGCCTATCTTTCTGTTTGTAAAAAGACAAAATGCTGTTTGTTTGAATTCCATTCAACATCATTAGAAAATCAAAAAGCTGTTTAAACATTGCATTGTCTAAAATACATATTTATTTATTGCTGATATCTATTTATGCATTACTTTATTCAGTGGCATGAAACTTCAAAAAGAAATTTTATTTTTTTTTTACTTGAATGTGTGTCTGTAATTCTTTACTTTTGTTATATACTTAGGAACTAGAAAGAGCTTGGAGAGAATATGATAAATTAGAGTATGACGTAACTGTAACAAGGAACCATATGCAGGAGCAACTTGATCGGCTTGGAGAAATTCAGGTGTGGTCACTTTCATTTTCTATGATTTTGTTTAAAAACTACACAAAAGAAAAAAAGGGGACATGTGGTGCATTAATTTAGAAAGTATAGAAAGAAATTAGAAGTTTGTAAGTTCTGAGGAGGTCTTCAGCTTTTCCTGTTTTCTTGAAGCTACAGCACTGGTTTTCCTGTGTCTGGAAGCTTCCTCTTTCTGTTTCAGTGATGGTGTCCAAAAAGGGGTAGTTTTCTCAGACCTTAATTGCTATGACAGTCATATTAAATCTTCACACAAATCCTTCTATTTAACTGAATATTTTAAAATGTAATTAAATCATTCTATCAAAATAAATTGTAATTAAAAATATTCTAGGCATTGCTTCAGGCCTTACATATGAAGAGCTTTGACGTGTATCTTATTACCTCACTGCGCTGTGCTGTGGAGGATTGGACAGTTAGTACAAGTTCTGAATTTCTAAGGAGATCTTTCTATGAGACATGCACACACACACAGAGATGTGCATACATTATCTGTAATAGGCAGATGGGTGTGGTCCATGCTGGGAGGCATTAAAGGCTATTTGCTCCAGGGATTGATTTTCTATGCAGCTATGAAAGGGAGATTATAAGGAAGCCCAAGAGCTGAGAAATCTGTGTTACGCAGTACAAAGCATGCACGACCATGAATGCAAACAGGCCCACAGTTTATATACTAGTATGCAAACACCATGTTTATTTCCACCAATTTTAGGGTTGGAATTGGTGATTCCTTTTCTTTTGTTGTATGTAGGTCTCCTGTGCAAAGTTTGCTTGGATTTTCTTTGGAGACAGTAGATACAATTCTATTCTTAAGTGGAGTTTGAACTAGCAAATTGCTGTCAAATTAACTGACATGTTATCAAATTAGTTAATCTCACACTTTTTATTTCTGACAATATTTGAATGTTGCACTTTTGTGGGAAAGGAGAGTGCCTGTCATTACTGCATTTTATTGTTCTTCATTGGGAAAGGATATGCAGCGTAGTCTAAAGAAAGAAAAGTTTTCTGTTTTTTTCCACTTGCAATGTATTCTAATTTATTGCCTATATATGCTGTTTATTTACTGTCAGACTGAGTCAGCAGGGATACAGCGTGCTCAGATTCAGAAGGAACTGTGGAGAATTCAAGACGTCATGGAGGGTTTAAGTAAACATAAACAGCAAAGAAACTCTTCAGAGGCAGGTAAACTGATTGTTTTTATCCCGTAGGAAGTGAGATTGGATCATACACATTTTTAAAGGATAAGCTCCAGAGTTGCTTTTGTAGGTTTGAAAAAATGGTACAATTGCTGAGAAAAGAAGAAAGTAAATAATCTATTTTAAGTTGATGCTTTGTGTATTTGTTAGCGACAGGTTGTAGTTCATATTTTAAAAGCTGTTTATTGAGAACAATTTTTCTCTTTCTTTCTATGCCTTTCCCCCTCCCCTCAAACAGGCTTCATGGGATCAAGGACATTTTCAGCTATTAAATATAAAAATGAGGTATGGTTTTAGCATATTTACCATTTTAGCATTACTGAATTTCTAATATACCTATGAAAAAAATTAACATTATAATTGTTTTAAGGATGTCTGAAGTATGTATTCAGTGTGCTTCTGTGAAAATATTGCATTATAAATTAGTTTTAAAGACTGATATCTCCTCTAATAATTCTAACACTTTCATTTGTTCCATGTCTTTATATTCTCACTGGTATGTTTCTCTTTCGCATTTCTCACCTTTTCCTCTCCCTAGGCTCTTACCCTAGAAATATAAACCCTGATTTATGGATTTGTTTTCTACCCACCACACGTTTCATGAGAAGAAACACATTGCTTTATATGTCTGTTCACATATTGAGCCTGGTTCTCAGATGGCCAGAGCACCCACAAGAACAGCTGAAAGTGTGGGAGCTCCCAAATGTTCAATTCCTCTGAAAATCTGGCTAGAAGTTACAGTTTTAAAGGGACATTGTCATGGTTATCTAAAGTGTATGCAAGATACATCTGGCTTACAGAACTTTATAAGAGTCTGATTTATGTAAAAATCTTTAAAAATATATGGAATTTAATTTTTAAAAGGGTGATTCAGAGTTCATACATGTCCAACAGAATGTGCACTTGTTAGAATTGAAAATCTTGATAAGCCGAATAATGAAACTATTGAAGTATTTCAGTCTAGGTGGTAGTAATAAAATAAAAAGCAGACGAACAAACAAAAAACCCAAAGAAAATAAAGCTTTCTTGGCCCTTCTTTGTGTGTGTGTGTGACGTTGTCCCTTTAATTCCAAAATCTATAGCTGGTGTAGCTATGGTAATATATTTTTCTTTTTAAGTTATAAACAATTGTAACAGGTGTGCACATCTAAATAAGGTGACTATTCTACAATCTTTAGGAAGAGGAAGTAGTCCCACCTCGTCCTCCACTCCCTCGGTCCTATGACTTTACAGAGCATCCTCCCATAATCCCCCCTCTGCCCAGTGATAGCAGCTCCTTGCTCTGTTATAGCAGGGGCCCAGTACATCTGCCAGAAGAAAAGAAGATTCACCAAGTTCAAGGATATCAGAGAAATGGATCTTACTGTGTAAGTGGCTTAAACTGCCACATTGTTCTTGAAGCATCCCCCTTCCTTTGCACAGTCACAATTTTTATTTTGTCATCTGGCTACTTCTGCATTATGTTTTTACTTTTGTTTACTTAGTTTTATTTATAGCTCCATCATTTGCTCCTCACATTTTCCTGTCATATATTCTGTGCATATATAAAACGTCTTAAGACTTAAATGCTTGTATTTGAGTAAATATCAGAAAATTAGTTTCTTCTACTCACAAGTTCTTAAAAAACTCTAGGCTCAGAATCAGTTTTTGCTGAAGCCTTGCACAAATTTCTTTCCTGAAAATCATTTAAAAGAAAGAAAAAAAAAGTCCACATTTTTCTGTCAATTTTTTTCTGTAATTTCTGAAAGTCTGCAAATGTTGTTACTCAAATTAACTACAAAGAAATACTGCTGCAATAGCACTTGAACAATGAAACATTGTCTTAAGTAAGAGCACAGTCATCACAAAATAGCTGGTTTGAGTCTTAAGACATAAATGCTTGTACAAAAATGCCTGTTTATTTACCTCATAACTTGTCGTTCCTCAGGGTCCTGATTATAGGCTTTATAAGAGTGAACCAGAATTAACTACAGTAGCAGAAGTAGATGAATCTAATGGCGAAGAAAAAACAGAACAAATTTCAGAACCAGAATCTACTGCTAAAGGTTTGTCCCCCGGCATGGTGTTTGCAACCTTTCAACCTTTTACACAGGGAACACAAAGCTTTAACTGTGTTATAGAAGCTATATCGTCTTTTGTATTTTTGTACCCTGTCCATTTCTCAATATGATGAAACAGCTTCCACGATAAAATAATGATTTAATTATATGACGAGAAAGATTTCAGTCAATTACACTGCAGAAAAATCAAACATTACACTCACCAACAGCCCTGAAATCCTTATTGACACCATGTCTAATCACATCACTCACATTCCCCACACACCATTCACTTGAACAATTACCCATTTTTTGTTCTTGCCCTTGAACAATTATTCAGTTTTTGAATCAAGCTCCCGATGTTATGTCGCTGGAACGTCCAAAAAGGCAGCACCACAGAATTTTCAGGCCCTCATAAGGCCAGGGAAACAATGTCTTTTTCTTTCTTTAATCTTGTAATTGTTGAATTGCCTTCTGTCCTCTGATATAATAGGAATAATGATCATGACCTTGGAGTACACAGACAATAAAGGTCTTTGCAGTTGCTAAATGCTTTAGATTCTTCTCTTCATCTAGCTTCCATGAAAGTTACTAATTGCTTGGTAGAGTCTTTTACCAGGAAGTGCTTCTCAATTCTGTTTGCTGAAACACATAGAATAGTTTGTTAAAGGTGACTTCAGGAAAAGCAACTTGAGCACCTCCTGAAAGCCATATTAAGAGCTTTTAGAAAAAGTAACTAAACTTACTTATTTTTTTACCATATGGTTGATGTTTCCAGTACCAGCAAGATCACTGACTTCTGTTCTGGTAGTCTGACTAAGCATGTACATAGTAGGCTGGTGCAACAGTACCAGAATTTGACCAAGAACTATGATCATATAAGGATACTATTTTCATCAGAACAGTAATGGAGGTTTTTAAAACTAAGGTTAGCATGCGGTTTCGGTGTAAACAATGTGAATGGCCCTATGATATATGATATAATTAAACTTGCACTTACCAGACAATTAGTCAATTCAGATTCACTATGGTATTTGCTGAAGTACAATGTTCACTTAAGATAGATAGTAAATTTCTTTTAACTTGGTGGTGAAAAATGTAAGGTTTAGCCTGAGATTTCCTCATCATCCACCACGGAAATTGAGGAAGTTGCCTTTCTGACAACATGCCTGGGTTTTATTCACCTGTGGTGTTCCAGATTATTTATAGTAATCTATGACAAGAGGGAAAGTAATTATGAAGACAATATAAGAAAGCCTATGATGACTATATAAAGCAAGCCAATACTTTCTGAGCACCCCAGTCCACTTTCTGTCTTCTGTAAAGACAGAAGTAATTTTATTATGTCCATATGTAGAAAAACAATCCTCAGTAAGGGAAAGCAATAATACAAATTTTTCTAATATAAATAATATTTAGGGGCAGGGGAGGGAATAGCTGCAGTGGTAGCAAGCAGCGAGAGGCTTTTTATCTTCTTAAACAACAGAGTGAAGTGGGTTTATGATCCGGTCCACACTTTTGAGCATGTGAATTTTCTAATGGATATTTCTTGTTCTGGGCATTCACTTATAATAGCAATCCCCATGCAGTAGGAAAAATACAACCATTCCTGATTGATTGGTTTTTTATAGTGTGTATGCCATTACAACTATATGCTGTTTCAACAAACATTTTTATGCCATTCTATCTTAACAGTTTATAAGCTGAAAAGGAAACAAAGTCAAAAGCAGCTCATCTCTGCAATTTTTCTTTCTTGCTTTTTTAAGAAGTCATACTTAAATGATGTAGTTTCCTATTGAAGGTGGTTCTAAAAATTAGTAAATTTCAGAAGAAACTTAAAAATACTTTTCTAGTTCATTGTGCATGTTACTGGACTAGACACTTCTCATGTCAGCCATTTCCCTCTCTTTTCAAATATCAGCAGTCAAAGAGAAATGTTTTAATGGGACTATGTAAAGTAACCCCTACAGCTGTCTGCAAGCAGAGGAATATTTATGACCTGAGTGGTACATAAAGGTGACACAAAAGGAAAATGGACTTCTGCTGTGTTTTATCCTTTTTATGTCTAAAGGAGACCCAAACTGTTGCTTTATGTTTTTGTTTTGAATGATGGATTTGGCATTCAAATACTTTCATGCTATTTTGTCAGTCTATCAAACAATTTGGAGAAAGAGTTGAGCCTTCACCGAGTCAATGGTATCCTCTTAAATCTGTGCAACCTTAGGAAAGACAAGGAGAAATAATTTGGCTATCAAAGAAGACATTATATCTATTTTTTGGCAAAATCAGCAAGGAAACTGTTTTTTTATAGTTTGGTTTCCTACATGTATCAAAAAGCAAAAATGAAGTATGTGTTCATTAATTATATCTTTGTATTTTGGTAAGTTTTAACTTACTTCAGTTTTCTGCCAGCTTAATTACATTTTGGCAGGGCTTCTCTAAGTAGAAAAATTAATGGTGGCTATAGTTATGAGAGGCTGAATGTAGTGGACATCAGGACACAGAATATCCTCAGTTCCCAACCAGACTGAGCCTGGTTGCTGAGGTTCCCTGTCCCTAAGTACAGCGAGCTGCAAGGCTGAGGACATAGTCCCACTGTGCGCAAGCAGAGCCACAGCTAACTGCAACAGGTAACGGAAACAGGTTTGAGACCGGTGCTGTTACAGACACCGCATAAACAAGACTAGCAGTCACATGAAAGTGGAACACCACAAATAGCATGATCCTGTTCTCACTCACCAGCTGATCCCATACACGTATAGACATGAGCACATGTGTGTGCACACACACAAACAAGTCCCTCCAAGAGCTGGCTAGACCTGTGGTATCTTCATCCGTCAACTCTCAGTACCTCTGGCCTCTCCAGTATCTGAATCCCAGACCTAAGGTCTCTTGGACAGCTGGCTCCCACACCTTGTGATCTGCTTGCCATCTAGTCTTGCCTTAAGTTCATTAGCATCTCACAGACAAACGGTTTCCCCTGGTAGGAGGTCCAGACTTCTGGTCCCTCTGGTAGCCAACCCACAGACCTGCAGTCTTTCCCATCTTTGGCCCTCAGACCTGTGATCTCTCTGTAGCTGTCTCCTACTTGCAAGCTACCCTGCCTTGAAGATCACTAGTATCTTTCATGCTCTCATACACAGAAAGGAAAGCATACTCACATGGAAAATACTTTACAGAATAAACTTTAGTAAGAAGATAGGACAGACGGCAGTGCTAAGGCATGAGGCTTGATCAAACAAGCATACTGACAAACAGCATGTTTATGCAAAGCTGGCCCCTTTTATTTCCCCTCCTCTCCATTATTCCATGCCTGTTCTTTCCCATCCACCTTGCCCCCTCCCTTTCACACCCTATGTTTCTTCCCAAATAAAACAACCCACGCATCATTACTTTTTCATCCTTGGTCCCGCCTCTGCTAAATTTTGTATTTTAACACCACTAAGCTTGGCTTTACACGGTAGCACTGATATGGTTACCTAGGCACTCTGCTGGCCTTGCAAACTCTATTCCACAAAAAGTTCCCAGTACGGCCATCCAATTAGCTGTCAAGTTTGGCCATCTTTCACATAATTCCCCCTTAACCATCTGTGAAATCTAGCCATTTCACACAGCACTATCTAATTTTTGTCTGTTTCTCAGTGTTATTTGTATGTCCAGCATTTTCTTGTGCCATGTGCAGTAGTTTCCCATGTTCTATTTAGTTAGCTAAACCTCTGGCCAAGGGCTAGTCATCTGCCTGTGTACCTTAACAGATGTGATAGTTAGGCATTAAGATCTTTGCTGTCTTTTGACGAATAGTTTCCAAGGCTGACAACATGCATTTTCTGGAAAACAATACACTGTTTTGGCAATGTTTTGCCTAACACTTAGTGTATCACTTTACTGTTTCACAGGCTCACATTTTCCTGTGGGAGTTGTACCGCCCAGAACCAAATCACCGATGCCAGAGTCTTCAACAATAGCATCCTATGTCACTTTGAGGAAGAATAAGAAGATAGATCTAAGAACGGTACTTTAAAATAACCTTTGAGCATTGATGGATAGTGATGTGTTCATTTCTAAGTTTTAATTTCTGTAGTTACGTCAAAAGTTTTAGTTATCTTTAATTTGCTTTACAAAAAAAATTCACTGTTATATAATATGTAGGTTAATGGAGACAGCTGTAGAAAGAATGACAAAATTACAAAGGTCATGTATGTTAAACTGCACAGCAACACTCAAACTGGGCAAGAACTAAATGGTAATGATAAATCTACTAAGCTACTGAAGTTCAGGCTTGAGATGAAAGGACATGAAGCATCTTAGGTTAAAACTTTGAAGGACTTGTATTTGGCTTCTGGGGCAATTTAACAGACCCTGTATAACAAATACTGGCTTTTCTTTATTTAATTACTGAAATGATTTGGGAAATACCTAAAGCAGCCAGAAAATAAGAGTACAGTAAGCAATATGTGTGTAATAAGCCTGGAATGTCAGATTAGAGAGTCTTGTAGTCTCTGGGTTGAAGAGAGACGTTTACATATAGTTCATGCAAAAGGGCAGAAAAGTTTTGCCATAGTTACAGCATGAATAGCAGAGAAGTTGTAGGAAGAACGGGAGAGGAGAGAGAAACTCACAGGATGTTGACTGGACAAAGAATACCACTTTTCAGAAGTGAAATCAGTTACTGTGAATGCACTGAATGCCGCTGATTAGCCTGAAATAAATTTTTTTCTGTCATACAAAGTACAGATCTATCTGAAAATCAGTGAATTCTAAGAACAGAGTAGGTAAAATGATGGTTCTTGTTTTGGGGATAATACAATGCTTAGAATTACAGATTTTAAGTGGTGATAAATTCACTTTATTTCAGCCTGCACCTACTGTTAAATTATGCCCAACTGTAGTTTTTCTTGAAATAAAAAGGCAGAAATCGCTGTTAGATCAACTGGTGTAAATGTTCTGGATCATTAAATTTTGATTACGTTTCTGTCTCAGTCAAGTAACTTGTGTTTGCCTGTTGTATAATGTCTGGTAAATTGTTTCAACTTGATAGGATGGCTTTGAGAGAGCATCTACCCATTCTTTTAATGTTTATCGTTGATGGTGGTAATGTCACTGTTCAAAAAAGCAAATTTTTCCTTCCTTTTATTTTCAATTTCAGTGTTCATTTATTAATAATTGGTTCTTGTACTTTCTTCACATACATAGGAGACCTTCACTTGCCCACTATTTTTCTACTTTTTAGTAAATCATTAGGTGATCTTTTCTGAGAAGCTAAACAGTTTAGAATCTTGCTTTTTTAAAACAAAAAAATATATATATTTCCATTTAAGGAAAGACCAAGAAGTGCAGTGGAGCAGCTGTGTCTTGCAGAAAGCACACGGCCTCGAATGACTGTGGAGGAACAGATGGAAAGAATAAAGAGGCACCAACAAGCTTGCCTGAGAGAGAAGAGAAAAGGACTCAATATTATTGGTGTTTCAGACCAGTCTCCTTCACAGAGTTTATCATTTGTCAGAGAGAATCCATTCAAATTGGCACAGGTGGGTCCCACGTTATTCAAAAACTTAAACATGTTCAATTGAAAAAAAAAAAGTTATAAAATTGTTCTTTTTCCAAAATCACATGATACTATAGGTGCCTATTTGAGACTGCTCATATAGAGTAACAGCCACAATTCTCTGTCAGGCACAAGAGAAAGTGAGATGACAATCTTCATGCTTATAGCGAATGATAGTAGAAGTCACCTCTTTGTCTTTTGGGAAAATAAATAGTTCAAATATACATATGTTTGATTATGTGTTGTGATGTTTCTTAACAGGTTTTTTTGGTCACATTTAGCAAACAACATGAAATTGCAAGCTTTGTGACTAAAAGCTGTATCAGGGAGAATAATGATTCAGTTGATGCATAAATTATGAAGATTTTTCTCTCGTGTAATATATTCAAATATCTGTAACATTTTTAGGTAGCAATGTATATCTATGATGATAGCTCTTAACTGGTGCTCTTTGCTGTTGTTTTTGTGACCATAAATACATAAAAATAGAACCCTCGCTCTTGTTTTCACGCATTCTTAAACAGTTAAGGCAAAGAAGTGAGTTTATTAAAGGGTAAAGGGTGGGGAGAGAGGAGGAAGATATAACTGCTTGTCATTAACCAGGAAATACTATCCTGCATGTACATATTAAAAAACAACAACAACAAAAACCAAAACAAAACTAAACAAACCCACAAACCCAGATTCAGAGTGGTGGATATTAGACAGCCTACTAGTTTCTAACTGCTAAGAATTAGTTTTCTTTTTCAAGAGCTTAGTGGAGTTATCTTTTTTTTCCCCAGTCTTCTGGTGTACTTTTCTCCTCAGACCACTCTGTGTTTTGTTTTGGTTTGGTTTTTACACTGGCATGGAAGTGCCTTCTTTTATGTTTTGTAGGCATTTTAACATCTGATTTTCCAAGACCAGGTTAAATGCATTGTACTGTTAAGAAGTCACGTATTTCCAAAAAAGTTTTAGGTTTGGTTTTCTTTTTTTCCTCTGAGCATGCTAAGCTGCCTTTAAAGCTAGACAAAAGTTACTTTTCCTTCAACAACACTGAATCCCCAGAAGACACTGAATTCAAGTTTTGCCTTTGCATTAGAGCATCTGTATTTGGGCTGACATCATGAATGCTATTATGAAGGGCGCTCCTACAAATATTTTTGTGAATAACACTGCCTTTCTCAAGAAGAGGACATGCAAAGTAAAGCTTTGCAGATGTTTCTTTTTGTAGTTTTTACAGAGGTGTTTGAGCTTTTCCACTTTCCGATGGTATCATTTCATACCTCAGGGTGAGGAAACTGCAGTCATGTATGTGTCACACCTGGTTAGCCAGCACCTTGGGAGCAGAGTGGGGGAAGTGGCCAAATCCTCTGTGCCAGCACTACTTGCTATATGGGATTCAAAAGAATTTTGTTCATGTCAGTATGTTCTTCAGTCTTCTATGTGAAATCAGTGCTATGTGGGTGAGATAAGCCATTTATAGAATAAGTGAGAACGTGTCTGAATTGAATATTTAGCTAGTAGTCTGTGCTACAAAATCATTTTTTCTATCACAGCTTTAATTATTCCAGAATGCTATTTGGCATAAGCCCCAAGATGAGGTATTACATTGTAGTAATAGCTCTTATTTTTAAAAACATAGTTACTATGCTTACTGATTTTTTTATACAGAAAAATGGTGCACTGGCATGAACTGCTGGAAGTCTTTTCAACTGGGGTTTGGTTATTTAAGTATTGGAGGTAAAAAACGATTTTATAAACAGCCTTCTGTGTAATTTTGAAGTGATTACCAAAATACAAAAGAAAGTTGCTTCACAATTGTCATTGTTTAGGAGTAGCGTATGATCTGGGTGCATAGATTAGTTAGGAAAGTAAAGAAATTGATTTGTGAACTGACTTACAGGGAATTTCCTCTTAACAGAGGGCATGTGCTAAATCACAGGAACTCAGCCACAAGATTTACTACTTTCATGGCTCCTATTTTTCTCATCCCTAGTACTTAGTTTGATAAGACTTACATGAACCTTACTTCAGTTCAGTTTGTACTCTGCCAACATAACGTTTGCAGTTCACAATCTTAAGTCGCCTTTACCATCCTTCCTCAAAATTTTTTATCAAATTATTCTCTGTGCAATGGAATTTTTTTTTTTAAGGAATAAGTAATATTCCTCTGCTATTATCAGATGCTATGTTGTCCTCTGTTAAATCCGTTAACAGCATAGGCTTGGAAGATACCCAACATAATTGGAGAAACTTCACACAGGTGCACTGTGAGTTTTGAACTGAGAGCAGATTTTTATCCATCTTTTTTTTTTTAACCAGGAAAAGCTATTTTTTAAAAAAAACAGTGCTTATGAGTGCAGATAAGAATGCTACTAAGCCTGTGTGTGACTGAGGTAAATATGAATGAAATTTCAGAAGATAAAGGTGACTAATAGAAATGCGGGAGATGGGGTGGGGGGCAGAAAGTACAATAATCTTGCAGAGAGAAAAAATGTTAGACAGGCTGAACTGTTTTGAAAGGTACAAAAATGAGAGGATTCTAAGTCCTTAACAATTTACAATTCCCTCATTGCAATGTGGTACACTTAAGGTTTTTTAAGTTGTTGGGGTTTTTTTGTCACATTCAGAGGACAGTGCAAGACTCAGAACTGAGGCTGTGATAACTTTTGTAATGATATGTCTATATATCACTTTTGTTCCACAGAATCGGAAAAAAGATGATACTATATCTAGTAACATGAAGGAATTAGAGAGCACCAGTAAAGACAGTAATTTGAAACAGAATAATGAAAGTCCTGGAGAAGAAATAGCACAACTAAAACATGATGGAGGACAAGAACATAATTCAGGTTTTACTAAAGAGGTACTAAACTGTCCCTTATTGAACTGTTCATCAGCCTGTCTTGCAGTAGAAAAATATTTTGAGCCACAGGCAGCAGAGTATGGGAAATTGAGCCACTTCCTTGCTCTTGGAAGATTAAGATTTCTTTTTGGATATAACAAATATTCTATAGAGAAATGCAAAATTGTATCAGATCTGTCTGTAGCTGAGATACTGAATTTTCTTGTATATAGTCTTCCTAAATTTAATTTTACTTAACTTTATTTTTTACTATCTTGATTGATTGTAAAACTACAAAATTATGATCTTTATTTCTTTGGAAACAAAACTGATACAAATGCATCTTTAAAAATAATCATTAATCTGTTCATTGCTTGGGATGTAGTTAGGACAGTGTAGTTTTTGACAGTCATTTAATACACCTGAGTTTTTTGTTTGGTTGGCTATAGAGCATCAGATAGTTTATCGGAAGCAGAATAAAGCTGACACAACAATTATACATGGAAGTAGGCAGTAACTGTAGTTTGTGGTATTTGGTCACTGGATTAATTTCTGTCTTGAAATAATCTCAAACTCACTTGGCAGTGAGTTACCTTGGTGTTTATGGTACTGAAGTGCCCTGAACACTCAGCAAAAATAGACTGTGAAGAATAGATTCCTGGGTTTGTTTCTACATAATCATGTCCTGCTTTTGGTTTAATTTTTTTTTTAAATCTTGTGTAGAGAGTTTTTTTTTTCTTTTCTATCCATATTCTTTAATTAATCATCCTTTGCTTTTCCTTTTCCTCACTTATTTTTCCTTTTGTTTTCCTGTTTTATACTTAGCTTTTTTAAACATATGTCTGATGGAGAATGTTATAAAATCAAGTAATTAACATCTGTTCTTATTCTTAAAAACACTTTCTATTGAGAGTCTGTTGCTTTAAGTATGCAAATCTTTTAAAGGAAAATTATGTAATACGTTTATATTTGTTATATCTAATCAGACCTCTAAGAGCAGTGTTCAGGCTTATCAGCAATATATTGCAGTAGCTGGAATCTCTTGGCATTGCGAAGAGAGGGATAGCATGAAAAAATAGGCAGGTTGCAATCCAAAGAGTTCAGATAAGTTCTGGAAGTTATTAAGCCAAGCCCTGCCCATTGGCTCTGGTATAAGTTTCAGGATAACTCTATTAACCTGAATGGTATTGATAAAAATTTCTTAAGTTATGTAATTCTGAGTTACTAAGTATACATGATGGCAAAATTTGTCTGTTAATAAAACTGTTTCCTGATACTGTTTTTCTTATCTGCCACTTAGTATGTGTTACAGCTTTTTGTTTCATGATTTCAATTTTTTTACAGCTGACAAAAACTGATTATCTTTTATCAGATGCACATGTTGTATCTGACTCAAAAGAAGTGAGTAATGAAGAGAAAGAAGAAAAGGAAAAGAAAAATAAATTGGAAGAAACACATGATGGTGATATAAGGTAAAAATAAAACAAGATGTTCAGTGGCTATTTTAAACTTGCACATTGTATACATTAGCTGAATGGACCAAGCAACTAATGAAATGCTGCCGTAAATACTTATAAGGTATATTTATATGGTTTTGGGCGGTTTACATATAGAAGAATCTATTGAGAAACCTAATTGCTGCTGGAGATTCAGTAAGAGGTGATGAATTGGTGGGTGAAGCAATGTTTATTTTTAAGTATTGCCCCAGTTATAAACAGAATATGTTCATAATCCTTGCTTTGGGATACAAAATGTATTTAGTAATTTCTGTTCAAGCTTTGTATCAGTTTTATTATGAAAGCTTCAGCCAGGGCTTTCATAGCAAGCTCTTTACCACTGATATTTAGGAGCAAACTAAACAGCTTATTCTATAGCTCCTGCTTTAACTTTTACTTCACTATTTTGGAGCATTGCAGAATTAGAGGAATATTGTGTCTTGCATATTCCTCTTTAAGGATTCATAACTTCAGTGTAAGTTGCACTGCAGATCCTAAGTGAGTTCTTACATTAGGTCATAACTTTCTCACAACGCCCTTTGGCAAAATAGGTATTATGCAGTAGGAAACTGCATGAGTATGTAAAGGAAAGGAATTCAGTTTCCAGTACTTTTTTTTAAAGTAACTTTACAAGGTAGAAGGGTTTCAAAATATGTACTTAATTTATATTACACAAACTTGCAGGTTGCAACTTTTTTCTATTAACAGAAGAAAATTAAATTGTAACTCCTCTACTTAGTGGTTAACACCTGAAATTAAGTTAGAGTGAGTTCTAAACGCTGTGCTTTTTTTAACCAGCTTGCAGAGTGTGACCACAGTTACAAACCACAAACCCAAAACCAGCTCAGAAGAAAGTGAAGTAGTTAGTGTTCAAGAACAAGAAGGGATTATGTCTTCATTTGAATTAGCAGCACAGTCTTCAAAAGGAAATCAGGCAACAGCAGGTATGGAAAAGAGTTTGACTGAAGCACAACTTACACAGTATATATGTAAAACTTTAGTTCATTTTGATTATGTCTTTTGATACTCTGAAAGCCTTGAATTGAAAGTGCTGAGCTAGTCTAGATGTCAAGTGTATGGTTTTATAACGTAAAGAAATATAGTTTCCCAGCTGATAACCACAGAAATTCCATTTTTCTGAGGTTTTAATGTAGTTCTTATGGTTGCATTTAATTCAGGGAATTAAATAACTATTGCCAGAAATTGAGTCATGCTATAGTTGGTTGGAGCAAATCCTTCTCTATTCATCTTGTAGAACAACATCTCAATCCTGGATCTGTATAGATTATTTACTGTTAACTCCTTGCTAATGGATGGCCTCAGGTATGCCCAAGATTGAGGAATCCTTGAGAGTTTCCAATGTATCTAGTAGATTTTGAACTAGCAAGTAAAAGACCCCAGTTTGGTCATGTTTTCAGGAGTAAGAAAAGATGCAGAAACAGAGAACACTAGCTGACTGGTAAAACAACTGGTGGTGTACTACTTTGGAAGAAGAGAAGGCTGGAATAAAGCAAAATTGTTTGCAAAGAGGAAAAAAACAAGGGGGGAGTTTGTAGGGGAGGAGGAAGGAAGGAAGAAGATAGAATTTAAGACGTTATTAGGATATTTGGCAATGGGAATGGTTAAGTAAGCCAAATGGTTCAATTTATGGATATAAAAGGTGGCCTGGACCTTTGTAGTGCAGTCAGCAATCCTTTCTGTGACTTGATAATCAAAACCAGAACTTGTAAATACATTTTACAGTGTTCAGCAGAATAAAAAATACTTAGCTAATCTGAGCTGGGATATAAAAGTGGGTCTGGGAGTATCCCAACTACTTAAATTTAACTTTTTTTTTTTCTGTCTCTGCAACATAAATAACACATCAGCATTCATGTGTCCGTTGTTTGTTCCTTTGGTGTTCTACTAGTCATTTATAGGCCTGAGTAATGATCTTTCTTGAGAACAGCTATGCTCTCCCTGAAGTTGTGCTTATTGTGCTGATCAGATTTTAGTCTTTACTTGTGTAACTTTCATTTGGTTCTGCTTATATTTATTATGGCTTGAAATGGTGATTTTCAAGTTTATATTTGTAATGGCTTGAAATCATGCCTTCTGTAACTTGTATTCTTATTTATCTTGCTGTATGACTCGCAGTGAAAAGTTTGCCTTCTTCACCAGATTCGTCACTATCACCAGCTCCATCTACACAGACACAGCTCACAGAAGGATCACATTTCATGTGTGTATAGTTACAGAGAAGTACGTCTTTTTTTCCCACCCCTCCTGCCATTTTCCTAATATTTTTCTAAGTATATGTATTCTGGTTATTTTTCCGAGAAACATCTGTAAGACAATACTTGGCAAGACAAAGTTACCGGCAGTGTTGAATATAAACTAAACAGAAAACAAAACAAATACATGTATTGATTTGCTTGCAAGTAATGTATTCTCGGTCTAAGTATAAAGAGAAAGGCCTAATTGGCTTATCAAGCACATTCTCCACAACTGGCAAGATAATAGCCCTTTGAATGACGTGAGAGACCTAAGCTGTTAGAAAACAGATACTCAGTTAAGGTATGAGCATCAGTGCTCTGGTGCAAATGAATCTTGACACTCCAGTCGTGGTAGTAGGCAACTAGAGCTAGATCTCTTAGTGATGCGTAGGAGTGAATGGTCTAATGGCCTGAAGAGTTTATGGCTTAAGACATAGATGACTGAGGCATGACAAACCAGAAGGGAAAAAGTGAGGGTGGAAGAAATGTAACAATTACAAAACTTTTTTTTTCTTTTTTGTTTTCTCTCTATAGAGATAATCCTAGGCAGCTTTTTTTTCCTTTTTATAGTAGGCGATTTCTTCTAGGAATCAAGTCAGGAAGCATGAGTTAGGCTAGATTTACATGTTCCTACCTGTAGTGTTACCTACTTAATCAATGGAAATGGAAATATAAGTAAGCATATTTGTTTATACAAGTGTTTACAGAAGTTAATAGCATACCAGTGTGAATGCTTAGGCACTTTACCAGCATTTAAATCAATCCACATTTCTTTGTTGTCAGGAAATACCTGTTTAAATAAGCTTTCTACTAAAAGAATAAGCTTTCTTTCAATGGTAATGTTAAATGCCATAGCTAATGTAACTTAAGAAAACTTTAAAATCAAGAGAACTATAAAACCAAGAAAACTTTAAAATCAAGATGTTTTCAGTCATTTAGCATGGGAGATCTGAAAATGCATTTTTTCATTTATGGTCCCAATCTCCATTGCCAAGCTTTCATCTTAGCAAAATTAAACTTATTATTCATCACAGACACCTTTCTTGTGTGAACTAGGCAGGAAACTATATTCTTAAAAAAAAAAAAAAAGGAAATTATTTTCATCTTTTTCTCCTTTTGAGAGATTGGAAAATCTACTCTTCACATTCAGTGCTGACACCTGTGTTGCTAGCTTCCTGATGGGTGTGGTCTGTCATGATTAGATTTAGCTTGGACTTTTTTACTTTTATTCAAAAGTTTTATTACAGAACTTTTTTTAAAAGATAAGTGGGACTATTCAGTTTTTCTGGAAATACTGATTTGTGTTACTGCTTTTCAGTTTCACTGTATAAATATGCATGCATTTATCATACATCTTCTTTTTAAATAGGACAAACATTACCCCATCAACTCAGTTTCAGGTCAGTGGTGAAACTGAAACTGCACTGCTGAATTCTGTCCGTAGCCACAGCATGCCTGTCTTGAAAGGGGAAGCAACCTATAACTTCACCAGAAGGTTATTACCAGTTGCATTAAGTTGCTTTCACCTCGTCATCAGCTCCAATGATCAGATCAGCAAATTCATTTTTTTAAGCATTTATGCTAAATATGAGACTAGCAAAAGTGAAGCACTCATACAGCGATCCACTTTGTAACTTAATGCCCAAGGCTTGACATCCCACAGCAAGGTGTATCCTCATAGGTAATACTGTAGCTGTAATGTTTCCCTGTTAAGTACGATTCTACAAATAGGCCTTAATTGCTTATGACAAAATGGTGCATCTGAGATGGCACTTATAAAACTAGTGCTGTGCTTACACGTGCCTCACTATAACGAAGAAATGATTTTAGAACTTACAATACGTCAATTTCGGCTGTTTAGTATTTGAATTGAGTTGGAAAAAGCATTCAACTACGTGCATATACATTCCACATTTCTTTGCTGCACTTGGTGCCTCTGTTGGTTGTTTCCTAGGAGCTCCAAAACAAATTCATGCCACGAGCTGGGCCAGGTACACGTCGGAGATGTCTGAAGCACGGTCTGCTTGCCTGCACTGCTTACTGCCCCTTACCTTCGGGGGCTGCCGTTCCAGTACGCCAGTGCTCGGGCTTTGCTGGAGGATAGCTCTTCCAACGTGCTGTGAGAACTTAGTGACTCTCAGATACAAGAGATCCTATGCAGCAGAGGAAACTTCAGAGCTGTGGGACCAGCCCTGTTCATTTCTGTCACCAGCACTTAAAGCGGGTGGCAGATGCTCTCTGTTCACCCCTTCCTTTCCCTGGAAGGGGAAGGAGAGGAGAAAAGGGAGAGACACCCATGGGTGGGAAATTAAAACTACTTTAATAAAACAACAACAATGAAAAAGAGTATAACAATATCAATACTAATACTACTAAAAATAGAAATAAAAATACACAAAACGAATATTGAGCATCCCAGTGATGATCAGGGAATTGCAGGCTGCAGCGGCTCACAGTGCTCACGTGGCAGGGCGGGCACCCGGATGTCCCGGACCGGACTCGGCAGCAGACAGGAGCTGGATTCAGGGATGCACTGATTGGGTTCGGAGGCAGGAGAGCAAGCAGGGTCCCA